CATCGACAGTAGTTCCACCTGCAAGTGCGTCAACAGCAGCCATAGGCTCCACTGATGTAAGGTGCGACCCTTCGGATAGATCTGCTAGTGCTAGTACTACGTCCTCGCATACGGCAATCTCAATCTCAACTACCGCTACGTCCACGGAAGCACGCGTCCCCACTGAAAGTGTTCCCAGATCTAGGAATAAATCGGGCGGTGCTGATGACAAGGTAGTAGTCGCTGCTTTTTCACATGCATACTATTTTCAATATAATACGAACCAGATCGCCACTGCAGAAGAGCAATGCAAACGCCACCACGAATAGTACTATTTTTGGCCGTACTTCTACTGTGGACATACTACCCTCGTCACTATCCTTCCACCACAGCAACCGCTGCCAGCCGGTCCCTCGCGTGGCAGGGCGATCGATTTTTCTGACCCGGAACTCTGGATAACGCACGCGCGTTCTGCAGATATGACTTGCCTGGTTTTGTTCCACAGGTGCCAGATAGCGCCGCGAGAGCTGTGGCAGCAAGTGGCAATGGAGCTCACCACTACGGTAGCATCGAGTTCTCGGGTCGACACTAGGAAGACCAAGAAGCGCAAACGGGATGCGAGTGAATAGAAAACAGAGGTCACTTCCTTCAAAACTGAATCATCGTCCATTCAAAATTGTCAGAGGAGGCTTGCTGCTACTGTATGTTGTGTTACTCCGATCATGCTCATCGCTCCTGTTTGACACATTCTCATTAAAAACTCTGGATATACACGATATACTTGGAATCACTTAGTGTTGATCGACGATTGTTCAAACGCTTTAGCGGTGAGTACTACGCACGTTGTTCTGCAAATAATCTATCAAAGACTTCAACTTGATGAATGGGTAACTTAAGGTGACCCAATGATTCCTGGTGGGTCCCAAATGGACGTTAGATGGCCATTACTGAAATGAGTTTCTGTTAGCACGAAAATCATTTCTGTCATGGCAGTAGTGGGTTTTCGCCTGAAAAACTCGGGCTCATCTTGTGACAAGGGCTTATCACAAAGATTTAGGCCTATGGGATTGAGATACTTATGAGTACTTGCTTCGACTGGCAACGCTTAGGATTTATCAAGAGGTTTGGGCAAGGTTTAAGACTTACAAATGCTCAAGGATGACGACTCGAAGGTTTAGGCCTTTAGGACAACTTTAGGACTTGCAAAGTTTCGGCGTCTCCGCTGGTGCTGACCTTTGTTTACAAATGTTTCGTGCCAGAGGTCGGGGGATAAAGTTTGGGTATGTTGCCGGTCAACTAACCACTACCGCACTCGGAGACCACCCCTTTGATAAGGTACGGGAGGAACCTGATTTTGGCCTAGTGTTCTGCCAATGGCGGTAATTTTTTTGTCACTTTTGGTGATGGTAACAGTCTATGAATTTCAATATCTAACATGCAAGTGATGGGGGCTGCATTTTCCTCTTATCTATCATCGTCTATGTCCTCTCTACAACTCAGATCTGAGTTGTTGTGTTGGATACACCTCCACGTCATGGTTCGCCTGGACTGAAGATGACCGCTAAACGATACTATACCCCCTTCTCAGACTCCAAAGGACTGACAATTCTATTTGCGCATGGAGTTGGTGCGCGTCAGTATGCTGGTGTTTTCTGAAGTAAATGTGCGGCTGACTGTAGATTTTGTAGACAAGGAGCACTGGGAACCGATGCTCGGTATCTGTTCTCCCACCATAATTTACAGCAGCCAAGTTTGTATACGTGAGGCCTGGTGTTTCGACTGGTTGAACCACGGGGACGCCGCTGTAATCAACAAGGCTGCACTCGAGCGCCGCTCGCCGGGGACGTTTGTGAGTCCATACGGAATCATTGTCACTCTCCTCCCCACCTACACCGCTATAGCGGAATGGGCAGCGGCGATTGCGTCCTTTATCAAATCCACCGTTTCTCATGTGACCATAGATTAGTTGGATTGGGCACTCTGCGGTTCAGCGCGATGTCAGCCACCCTGTTTCCCGCATTTTTCGTAGAAGCTGACCTCAACATTAGAATACTCTCCACACGTGCATTTCCCATGTGTAATCAACCATTTGTTGCAGTGTTTCTCCTTGAACCTTCGATGCTTACGCGCGAATTGTGGATGTCTCACCTGATGGAAAGAGAAGCATTAGTAAGAAAAAGCATGAGTGCCACTCTCCGTCGACGTAATGTGTTTGATACTTTGGAGGAGGCAGCCAAATATTGTCGAAAACGGAAGCCTTGGGCAGAATTCGATCAGGAGGTATTTGATGTTTTCAAAGTGAGTGGTCATGTTATCTACGAATTTTGAATCATCAAGCAGCCGGTCGTATCTAGCAACACGGGTTTTATTCAGTCAGTATACAAGATGGGAGCGAAAAGGAAATGAAAGTCGCTTTTAAATGTGACTTGCATCATGAAGCTCTTGCTTATCAGGACACCGAAAGCCATTTTGAAGCTACCGACCAGTATACCCGCATTTGCCGCGTGGTTCCTGTACATATTGTGTTCGGAACCATTCATGATTACGTGTAAGCAGTATCAGTGGTTTCAGATTTCAGCTTCTCCTGATTTTCTCCCTTCTACCAGTCCATCTTATTTCCATGACTGCATGACAGACGTCTCCCAGGGAAGATGTCCAGCGTCTGTGAAAAGGGTCCCCGGAGCTGGCCATAATGTAAGCTATCGGATTTTGATGGCTGAGCTTTCGATTTCATATATGAATAGATTCTTCAACAAACTCCCGAAGCACTTGCAGGAGCAGTATCTATCGGCCTGAATTTAATCATGAAGAATTTGACCTCGCATCTCCTACATAGACTGTGATCGTTAATAAAATACCCATTTTTTTTGAATGTCTGTTTATCGTCCTGTGGGGCGGGGCCCGATGATGGACACTACGTACACTATAGGACTTCGTTGTGTATATCTATCGTATGTATGGTCTAGTACCGGATATCCTCAGTTTTCTCAGATGACGGTCGATACTACTACTAGGCACTGTATGTCACCCACGTGGTCAGCGATGATCCCGCGTATTTTCCTTCCCAAAGACCATGATTCCACATTCCTTTTTGATTTGCCCGAGGCGGTTCGCCGACCTTTTCAGCCAAAGGAGACGCACCTTTGCTGATTCTGTTGTGTTGCACCTCTGTCGTTCACGCGCTGAGATGAGTACTGCACCCAAAGAGGCTTTGTTTGCTTGTTATCTTCCTTTATTAGATATCCGTTGCCCTCTGTATTCATAGTTCGCGGGATAATTCCCATTTCTCCCGAACTGATCGAGGGTATCATCAAAACAAACGGAGGCGCAGAATCAGGGTCGTCGTTTGACCAGACCCTCGCTCACATCAAGGGGGAATTCGTCGGAAGGCTTGTGGATGTTACTGGCTCAGAACTTGCCGGGGCTGAAGGAGGGTTGTAGGCGACCCAGGTACCGGAACACTGCCACTTCTCGCGGAGTCACTCCCGTAGAAATTTCTCTAGTGTTGGCTGCTGTTGCTGAGCATGTAGAGGACAAGAAACGTCAGACTTGTCTGTCTATCTGACTGGAAGTACCATAGCGATTTCTTTAACGTAAGCCTGAGCGTATTGTTCTTTGTTCTGATAATTCGCTGAATATGATTGACAGGGTAGATGACTCGCGACTCACGATGATTCGGTGTGATGCAGTACACTTGGGTGAGTCGACATGCGTAGTACTTGTATTTGATTGGTCAAATTCATGTCGACGTATTTTATGCCTGCATAGTAGGTGGTATGAGATGCTGCCATTTCTTCCCTTGATTTATTCTTGGGCAGCGATGTCAGTTTCAAACACATAAAAATGTAGCAGATCAAGAGGATAGACGGCCGCAGATTCAAGGAACGACATTGTCAACTTTGCCACTGGCTTATATATTATAATTAAGTTCTTAGAATCACGTGCACGCACAATTTTTACAGTCTTGACATGCGATCCCGGTAATTACTCAGTGCGGATGGACCACTATGATACAGTCACTCATTCCTTGCTCGTTCTCATTCAGTTGCTCAATCGCCTGTCAGCGGAAACTCCCTCACCCATAACACAATCATGACAAACATTCGAAACAATTTTACCGATTTCTGCCATTCTGCCCATGGGTTTCAAAATAATTCCAGGTTACGTGAGGGGTCACTCCAACGTTCTCTATTTTCATGCCGGGCCCATTATGGAGCTCTGTGGGAATTGACAATCGTCTGACTGATCATCAGTATGTAGACATCATATTTACGTAGTTCTGTGCTGAATTGATGTGCATCACAGGCCCTGTAGTCTCTGGAAAAACGGGTTTCATCAGTCCTGACCGTGACCCTACTCCGTTCCCGTCGTCAACTACAGTGGATCCAAGGGCAAGTGACAATGAGTTCAGGGGCACCATAACGTTCTGTCAAGTTGTCATGTTCAAGTTCCGCCAAGCTGAAGATCCGGATACGGTGGAATATATTTTACCAGCTGGGATTTCAGTCACAGGGTGCATCATGATATGTTCAGGTGCTGGGAAATGTAGCCTTCCGGAATGTCCAGTTCGAGTGAGTGAGGAGTGTAGTGAACGACGAACTCGATCTCGTGGTGGAGAGAAAAGAAACGAGTGAAGGAAACGAGCCGCGCAACCGCTCAGCTGGACGCGTGGTGCCGAACCAAAGGTTTCGGTCGCGAATTTATAACCCGTGTAAGTGCCTTAATTTGTAGTTCCAAGGTCCTCTGACGAGAACGTAGTCCTTGTCCTGCGCGCTTACAGTGGCAGCCGGGACACTTCCGAAGATTCCGTAGCACTGTGCTGACAGCTGATAAGTAACCCTTGAGTTGAGGCCTGAAACCCAACATTATTATTAGACGTGCAGCAAATACAGACGAACGTGCTGTAAATGCTTGGATAAAGGTCATGAACGTTGAACGTTGAACCTTCAAGCCAGTTTCATTGATGATGATTCAAGGGCTGCTCGATTCCAAGATGTCCGAGTCGTTGTCAATATTGACGGCCATCTGCTCGAATGCAGACCACTGCGTTGATTAAGCCTTCACATGGGAGACACGGTTCTAGCCTCATGATCAAGTTGTTCGCAGAGTGTCTTCCAGTAAACTTTTGGAGGTAGCCAAATTAGGAAAAAGGTTCAAGGTCCGCGTACAAGAGGCTTGATGACCCGCCACGTGCACAGGAGCAGGTACTCAAGGTGTATGAGCTCCGCGACGACCATTTTCAAAACAAGAGATGTTGATTTCTGCATCGGCAAACGTGCGTCGATGTAATTTAGTATTGGTACGGCGTTTGGTGGGTCCTGGCATACCGCCTGGTGGGTTATCTGGCAAACTGCGGTAAGGTTTCAAATCGCTCATAAACGGTTGATGCATACTATAGGCAATCCAAACACTGGCACACTTTCCTCCCCACTATCATCATACCATCCACTTCCATCAAAACCGGCTAATACTAGCAGAAGCACTACCGTAGTGACATGAGCACTATCTTCAACGGTGATTCCCAAATGGAGGTGAGTTATCCTGTCCCCGTGTTCATACTCGTACATAATAACTACGTCAGGTCATCACTGTGCTTGCCAACTGCGGGACTGACACTGACAAGGCTAGGCAAGCTCTTACAAGGTACATAGCACGAAAGCAAGAGAAAGGAAGACCGACAGAACACATTTTGAAAAAATTGCGGCAACTGGAATTGAAAGTTGGTGGCCTTGAGATTTCCTCATCGCCGCCCTCTGTTAACATAACTTCCTGCACGTAGTTCATCAATGACATCACTTTGCACACCGCTTTCCGAGATGCTAGAGCAACTACCTGCCTTCCACGATCACCCGATGTACCCCTACCCGACTTTGTCCGCCGTGATTCGGCTCGCCTTGACAGTCGTCAGAGCGTTTCGCTCCTGCAAGACCTTGCAACTCCAAGTCCTGGTCCCTCCTCCCCAAAAAGCTGGGTACAATCGTCTTATTCGTCCATTCAACATGGAGGCCCCTCCATAATAGAGGAGGATTGGATACAACCCGAGGAGGCTTTGTACAAGACTTCGTTGAGGACACATTCGCTGCCACCCACCAATGCCCCAGGAAGGTTGCCCGTACTGTCACCGTATGTTTTTCAAACAAGTTCCGGTCGCTCTCGCTCCTCTACTCTCCCATCATCGTCGATATCATCACCATCTCATTCTGCAAGAAAACTCCGAACTGCATTCATTACTCCACCCCCGACGTCCCCCCTCCCCGATCTTCCACTAGATGCAACTGACGGCCATGATTCGCATATTCCGCAATTTAACTTGCCTCCGCCGGCCAATAATCGACCCTTTTCGTCTGACTCCAAGAGCTCTTCTAGTTCGCATTCTAGTCATCCAAGACCTCGTACACCTGTGATGTTCTATCCTGAATTCTCTTTACAATCATCTACGATCACTCGAGGCGAAATCAGTCATCCACCACAGACGGGAAAAGATCTACCCCATCAACCGCTTGTCATCATGGAACATTGCCCTTCGGAGACGGACATTCCTAGCATGTTTTTACCCAGCCGGGAAGGTTCTTATAACGCATCTGAACACTCAGGGGCCGACTTTCCCGCTCCCTATCGCGATTCGCCTATACTTCGCGAACGGTCTACCAGTCATAACCATAATTTCAGTTTTCAGCTAGACAATGCTCTGCGGCTGTGCAATGCTTCTCATGTTGTTCGCCGTGAGGTAAAGCAGTGCCTCGAGCAAGACCGAGGATACGAGCAACATAACTGGACGATAGTCTTGCAGGAATGTGGCATAGCCGAAGACGATATTCCATTCCTTCTGAACGAAATGGCTCGGGAAGTGGAGTTCACGGCAAATAGGGTGTGATCCCATGGTAGTTATACCCTTTATCTTTATTTTTATCTTTATTTGTTGCATATACACGGGTTGCTTGTGTTCCGCTGGTTTTTCATCTGATGCGGAGTTTGTAGTACTTTTGGGTTCGGTACCAACAATGTTTGGGTGAGTTGTAGTTTAACTGTATGTTGCGTTCAACTGTAGTTAGAGACCAGTTCTGCTGGCTAAAAAGCATTGATTATACCCTATGGAATATCTTTGCCCGATATCAGCCAACATGGGGGAAACATAATTTGCTGGAGTACTCTGTAGCACAATCTACCCTCCAACTTCGACTGTTGTACTGACGAAAACGATCTGACGCGAAGGCTCCTGTGAGGTTGGGCTGAGTCCGAGTGTTAGCTCGGGCTGGACGCTGAAGGATTGAGCCGCTGGGTGGGCGGGCAAACGAACAGCGATTTGTGTGGAGCCTTGCGGAAGAACGATGGATAGATGAATAAGATGAATTGATGGTGCGAAAGAATCAATGGATGTAGCGGTGGGTGGGGTGGAACGAACTAACGTATGGTATGGTATTATGAATGTGAGGGGCGAGTAAACGAGAGGATAGTAATAGATATTCTGATACGCAGATACTACGATTCGAATAGTAACGAGAAGGTAGAAAGACCAAGCGTCACGCTCAGTTGGACGCGTGGTGCTGACTCTCCGGCAAGCTCCGAATCGGCACCTTGTCATTCCAACTTCGACTGTTGTACTGACGAAAACGATCTGACGCGAAGGCTCCTGTGAGGTTGGGCTGAGTCCGAGTGTTAGCTCGGGCTGGACGCTGAAGGATTGAGCCGCTTACCCACTGCTGGTGAGCTCCAACTGCGGCTGATCTCAGCGGCCAACCCAACAGAGCGATCTAGCTTATTAATGGTTTGTGTGGATATTTGCCAGGCCGCCGAGGTGTTGCGTTGCGACTTGCTCGAATGCCCTGATGTAAGTCTCATACGCTAGGGATTTCCATCGACCCGCTATGCGCACTATTTCTGGGTCTACTTTGTTAGCGAGGTAGAATGAGGCGCCGCCGATTCTAAATGAATGTCCAAACGTTGTTCCCCAGTTCCAGGCGGTTAATATGCTGTTGATGCTTTCGATGGCGCGAGTCTTGACCATTGGGCGAATGACTCCTTTGTTGTCCCTCCACGAGAATAATGGGTCGTCTGGTAGCGCTGGGACTACTTCTGCTAAGTTTCGCAATGCCTGAATTGGGCAGAGATCTCCTTGTTCTACAATGAAAACGGATTGAGGCTCTCCCGATTTTGCTGTCTTGGCTTGTGGGAGATCAAGTCTGGCATAAGGTTTCCCAGTCAGATCGAATCCGAGGTGAACATCTTTTCGCGTGATGTGTTTTGACTTGTCGAAACTTGCGCGAGTGTTGACTGCGACTTCCCCGAACCGCATCATCCCAAAGAAGGCACAGCTGGACATTGCCCATATGCACGCGTCAAATGGTTGATCTATTCGTAGGGTGGCCTTGATGGCAGCTAGCATATGGAGTGTGATTGGGGGTCGGATAGGTCTACGGCGAGTTCCTTGCAGGTTCTCCATTCCGCGAAGTGACCAGTTGATCCGCGTGAAGTGTTCTGGTGATAGCGGAGGTGGCCATCCTTGTGCCAAATGCCAGGCGCGGATTGCAGAGAGGTATTTTCTCGCGACTGATACGGAAACTGGCTCAAAGGGTACTGTTTCGGTTGTCGCAGACTCTAGAAAATGTTTTGTTGCGGAAGGATCGGAAACGGCCCAAAGGGCAAATGAGTGCAGCAGTTCGAAAGATGCTGGCAGACGGTCAGCTTCTGGGATGGAGAATATGTCGCAAAAAATGTGAAATTTTCTTAAACCCGAGCCATAGCTAGTCGTTTCTCGTAGCGATGCTTGGTTGGAGATGTTGGCGAGGAACTGTATGACTGGGTGGTCTATCGTTGACGGTGGAGGGGTGTTGATGCCACGCCAATGAAAAATACGTTCCTCAGCTGCACAGGGGGGGCGGAGGGGAGATTCTCGAAGGGATAATAAATTCTGGGGTGTGGGGGGTGTGGTTTCAATTGACGAGGAGGTCAGACTGTAACAAATGACATTTTGTCGCTGAGATGCGACGGGAGTGGAAAATCGGTCTTGAATGATGGGCCAGAAGAATTGCCTAGAAAGGTTTGAATGTCGCCTCGCGAGAGTGGATCTGAGATGTTGATTTGACCAGGTACGTGCTCGACTTTGAGATGTATCCCATGGTGCGCCTATATCAAGATAAGTAAGCTTGAAATCCATGCTCATTGATATTACCTGTAGCAAATAGATTTCCTTGAGGATGATGTTTGTTGGCTGATTGCGTGAGCGGCCTTTGTTTATTGCCATGACTACTCCAGCATTGTCCGAACGGACTAGGATGGATTGGCCTTTCACATCTGCTCGTTCGGATAGCCCAAGATGGAGGGCTAACCTCAAACCTAGCTCTACTGCGGTAGCTTCGGCCCAGCCAATGTCGTGTTCGCAGCCTGGGCCCACCTTGAAACCCTCTTTCCATTTCCATGCTGCCCAATGCTGGCCGATCACGATGCCTACTCCGAAAGATGTGCTCGCATCGCCCCACCACTGGGGGTCGATTGGGTGTTGGGTGCGTAGAGGTCTTTCGCGTGGGGATACTGATAGGATCTCTGTTACCCAGTGTAAGTCGGCAGAAAGCGAGCTCGGTACATGAAGACGCGCTCGTCGTGATTTGAATTTGTTGGCGAAAAGGGCCACTGATCGAAGGAAAGGGCGAATCAGTGGGAATATCGATGATACATGGACTAGCTTGCCGTGCAGGCTTGCTGCTTCGTTTGCTGTGAAACGCGTGCCCTTTGCTAGCCACGATTGTAACAATGATAGGATTTTTTCCATTTTCTCTTCCGGGAGTGAGACTACTCTTCGTGATAAGTCCCAGTCGAAGCCAATGTAACATTGGATAATTGCGAAGGCCCGCAGTTTCTCTAAGCTCCATGGTACTCCGAAGGCGGCTGACAGCTCGATGAATTCTTCTTCTGTCCACTTCTGGTGCGGGAGGCGGATGACGAAGAAGTCGTCTACCCATTTTCGAATTGGGCCGAAACCAGCTTTCTCGTATATGGCCACTAGCATGTCTGCTACTGAGCCGAAGACTCCTGCGCTTGAGCTTAAGCCAAACATGAGGGCTCGATCGACGTAAACCCGACCGCGCCATAGAATGCACAGGGCCCACTGTTGGCTGGGGTGGACCGGTATAATTCGGTACGCTGATGCGATGTCGAATGTCGCTGCGACACACCCATCTGGTAGCGAGAGAATCAACTCCACTACACTGTCGAATGTGCCCCATTCTGTTGGGAATGCGTCTGGGTCTATGCCTGCATTGACAGAGGGGCTTTCGGGATTGTCGCGTGGGTATGACATGTCTTGAACGAGTCTGAATTTCGTGGAATGAGGCTTCGGTACGAGGCCAAGTGGGGACGTGCGAAAAGGGCCGATTAAGGATTCTAGTTCCGAGATTGAGTATGCGCGAGAGTAACGCCCAGCGTTCTGCTCGCTGATTATATATTGGTCTATGATATCGACATTTAGTTGTGAAGATGTGTGGTTCTCGAAAGGATAGTGTGGTTTTCGGTGTTTCTTCTCTGACTCCTACGTCGAAGCCTTCCTTTATATTGGATATCATATGTCCCCATTCCTCGTATATATTATATTCATATAGTAGTTCTTCGAGTTTCGATGTGATGAGGGTGTCACCACCTGCCTAGGATCTAGGACGGACTGCTCTGCAGGTTCCTGCGCCATGGGCAGCATCTCCACAGATGCTGCATCCATGGTAATTGATGCATGCGTTGGCAAAGTGGCACTGGAGAATCTCGCCCAGCTGATGCAGAAAATCTTTCCGCCCGGGGCTGCAAGGGGCATGTTGCGCTCTTAGCTGAGGTTGCAATTCGGGCCACTGGGTGCCCGGTGATGGTGATTCTGCTGTGCAGGTCGCCTGGTAAGTGGTCTGCTCCTCCACACCGAAAGCACTGCAGTCTGGCCTTCTTCTTCTGTGGATGATGGGATGGCGACGAGGATGGCGGAGATGGCCTCTTAAGTTGTGCTTGGCTGTACGATGCAGTGACGGCGGGTTGCCTGGTTACTATGCGAGTTGCAATGATGGTAAGTGCTTTGTCGTCTAGCTGGGATAGGTCGTGTTGCGGATGCTGTGCTACCGTTTCACGTTGTTGGATGTCATACTCGACTGCAATATCCCATGAGTGGGAGCGGCTCAAACCCAGGACTACACTGTGGTGGGCTTTCAGTGCCTTCGCGCGTGCGGCCCCGTGGTAATGACCCGTGCGATCTTCTGCTGCATCAGCCGCTCCTATCCAGTCTGACAACGTTATGCTCCTCTCATTCCGGCGATCGAGCCCTTTGGCCATCAGCGAGCCTGACGCAGAGATGGTGAAGGCTTCTTCGCCAGTCCTAATCGCTTGCCATCGAGCCGACGAAGTGAGCGTACTGTATGGGACATATTTGAAGGCTTTGAACGCCTCGTCAACTTTGGGTGGAACGGCTGTAACAACAAGACTGGCATTAGCTCTCGAAATCCTCGGTAATGGCGAGGCGAACACGAAATTGTGGCAGCATTCAGCCCCGGACCACTCTATGGCCAGACAAAAGCTAGCTTGGCCTGCAGCCTGACGTAGCAAGTGGGTCGCCTTTAGCGACTGAGCCTATAGCTCTGATAATTCGCACTGGCCTTCAGCTCAGTGTTGAGATCGAGTGCGCTTGGATGCGCAGCTGCATCTGCATGCTTGGGTTAGAAGGTTGGGACCCAAGACGCTGAGCACTGCCTCCTTGGTGCGCGTAGCACGAAACTCGCAAATCTGGCTAAGAACGAGATAGAGATCCTCACCAGTGTCGAGGGGGTTTGCTTTGAAGCCTGGTACCACATCAGGGAGGGAGACCTTGGGCTCGTCCTTCTTGGCTTCGATGATGGCGGCCCTTGCTCTTTCTACTTCCTCTGGCGACGCAAACAATGGAAGTGCGGGAGCCTTAGCCTGAGGGAGGAGCTCAACGGGTTGTGTGGTCCTTATTGCTTGCTCTTGCTCGAGTTGAGCAATCCGGGCAAGCAGCGCTGCCACGTCAACCGTTTGCTGCACTGGTGTTGCGGCAGGTGGGTTCGGTGGACTTGGTGCAGATGGTGTGCTGGCCGGGGCTGGCTGCTTCGATGCTGCTTGCTTGGATGGCTACTTAGCCGCTGGCTTGGCTGCTGGCTTGGCCGCCGGTTTGGCTGCGGCTGCGGCTGCAGCTGCGGCTCTGGCTGCTGGAGCACCAGGGAGGGGTGTTACTCTGGGTGCGTTGCTTTGAGGCGCTGAATCGTCGTCTGCGTCGGCACCGACGCTAGCGAGTCTGGCTGACTGCCTTGTTGCTGCTGCTTTGGCGCGAGCCGCGCCTTGGC